TGGTTTGGTGTAGAGGGCTTACAGCCGTACATGTTTGAGCCCTTGCCTCGCAACGTGAAACAATACAAAATACAGAGTCTCGACACACAATTTCTTGTCACTAGATAAGTAATTCTCTTAAAACTGCACACTATAGCCTAATAAGTCTCAACAATTCGCTTTCCAACTATACTCCTGTAACTGTCACCACTATTCTGTGAAGATTGTTTCAACCTTTGGGTATATTAGCTGCGACATATGAATCTGAAATGAAATTGTATTGAAAGATGACCGTTGATATATGATTTGCCGAATTTAGGTGTTCAGTCTGACATAAATAACTGGCCTGCATAAAATAACGGAAAAATCAATAACACAGATTTCAAGACAGGATTTTTTTTTTTTAAATAGAAATTTTCTATTTTTTGGGACAAAATGGTCTGATAAAGAGTACATTTATATACTTGTTTAAGCCAGAATGATTTGACATTTAAATATGATTTCCCTTCGACTTAGATGCTTACTGATGTTCCGTTAAAAGAAGAAAAATAGACAATCATTTAACAACTTTTTATGTTAAAATACATGACTGAATAAACACCATAGCCAACTCTGTTGCCACATAGATGGTTTGGATCAGGAAAACAAAATCTTTACATAAAAAACTAACATCTTTCTGTTATGAATCAAAACCATTTGAAGGCAATTCATTTTTTCCAAATATGCAAAGAGTCAGAAAAAATAAATTTTTACACTTAAAGATACTGATAATTTCATATCAAAGCTAATAATAGTATGAACATTTCCTCAGCAAAGTTATCCATAGACCAAATTAAAACCATGAGCTTTTACAAAACTGAACTCTTCTTACACCCAAATGATGAAAAGCCCTGACCTGTCCAGCGTTAAAATCCATCCCTCTAGCTTCACCCTTGTTCACCTCTCCTTTGAGGAGCACAGAGACAAGGCGTCTGCCTGAGTATGATGTATAATGTGAGAGAACAGTGACCCCTACATGCACCTCTGGCATCCCAGGAATGTGTTATGTGTGCCCAGCAGCAATCGTACAACTTTCCTAATGCAAAATCTTCTTTCCAATCACTGCAGATGCAACGGATCACAGGCGTGACACCAATGCAGTAGCTCTTCCAGAACAAATAGAGAAAGCAGGAAAATTACGGAAGGAAAAGGAAGTATGGCTGACATGTCTGTCTTCATGGCAGAAATAGTCATTTTAAGAAAAATGTTCAAATAAGAAACGTAGATTAAGTCAACATTTCTGTGTGTTTCTGATATAATATCAGAGACACACCTATACCTCTGGCCTCAGTCTTGTTTTGGACTGCAGGAGGAAGCTGGAGTTCCCTGGGTGTCAACCATGTGCAAATTGATTTTTTTAGAGACTAATCAAACCAATCAAGGAGGATTGGCCTAACTGTATTTCCATATTAATTTTATGCAAATGATTGGGCCTTTTAATGCCTTTTTTAATGTCATGTTTTTAAATTTGCAGATGACACCATTATAGTTGGTCTGATTGACTGCAGCAGTGAAACTTTGCAAGGAGCCCAAACATAAATCAATCTCCTATATTACATTTTACAGCAGCCAAAAAGGTTTGAAGTTTCTAATGTGTGACTGCCAAAAAAAGAAAAAGATTTATTGAACTAGAACTGAAGCCATTTTATCAGGTTAAATGGATTATTCTTTAAATAAAATACTCCACTACTTAAGTCATCACGCAATCATTAACTGGAGTCAAAGGAGTTTAAAACATTCTGCTCGATGACAGTCCTTTTAGAGCAGCAGATAAATAAAAACTACACCACAAATATATGCATTTCATACATATACATATATACACACTAGGGCTGCAACTAACGATTATTTTGAAA